GGAGCTATGTGTAATTTACCCTTAAATTTACGTATTTACTATCTACACAAACAGTTTATGCAACTCCAAAATTTTATATCGTTGATCTCTCTCCATAACCAAAGAGAGTGATGGCACATTGTGGCATCTGCCTTGTGTTTGTATAAGAAACTGCCAAAGGAAAATAGGAGAAGCTGACCATATTGCTCAAGTTGTCCGCCCTAGCCAAAAGGATCCTTAACAGAATCTTAAAAAGATCCTATTAACAGATGTTACATACATAAGAAGTTGGATATATGAAGAAGATCTCTTTAATTTACCTGGCTAAAACTCTATTGCCGTTATATTGTATGTATATGGTTACAGGTATATATCTTCGTTCCGCCTATGATGCAGACAATAAATTACTCAATACAGTTAAGATTGGCTGCTATAAATTAGTGACAGAAGCCACGGTTTGCTCTCTGCAATTTAGGAAAGATGTCATGTAGAAATATAAGTATGGCTTGTCCAAGGGAGAAGTCAAGGTCTCCATTTTCTTTCATCGCTCGAAATAGGAATAGCCAAAGTAACTCCAGAATATGTTTTGAGCTGAAGTTTTCATCGGCTGGAATGGTGCCTGCAGCAGTAACAACTGATGTTGCTAGTCCATCAAGAACAACATCAGAGGAGAAAGTGTATGATGTAGTTTTGAAGCAAGCAGCTCTTGTGAAACAAAAGAAGACAGGTAGAAGTATACATGAAAAGAAATTACTGGAGCAAAGAACTGGTAACATAAGCTGGGATTTGCTGAACAAGGCCTATGATCGATGTGGTGAGATCTGTGCTGAGTTTGCAAAAACATTTTACTTAGGTACGTCCTTGTTCTTCTTGCACGTTCTTTACTTGATCATCTCATTTTTTCGCCTTCTACTCAGTCTTGGTGAACTAGCTACTGATCGATTAAGCAAGCAAACAAACAAATCAGGGCTGACAAACCAAGGTTTCATGATTATGCTAACTATAAAAAACCATGAAAGTAACCATTTCAGAAATTTCCAAAAATCCAATGTTCTGAGACCATATCACGAAACATACTTGACCTTTTCCAGTACTAATTCAGGAACATTATTGATGACACCAGAGAGAAAAAGAGCTATATGGGCTATCTATGGTATGCCTGTTGATTCTTTTGAAGCTTAATTCTTGATATCTGATTGTTTGAGTAATGATGCAATGAATGACTCTTCGCTCTAGCGTGGTGCCGAAGAACTGATGAACTTGTAGACGGACCTATTGCTTCTCATCTTACACCAAGGGCTCTTGATAGATGGGAGGAAAGGCTAGCCGGCCTGTTTGAAGGCCATCCATATGATATGTTTGATGCTGCTTTATCTGATACTGTATCCAAATTTCCGGTTGATATACAGGTAAAGTATCAGACAACAAAAATTTAGTACAATCACCTTTTGTTCTCAAGCTACAATATTCTAGTGTTGCAATCTTCATGTTGATAGTCAAACCAAATAGACATGCTTAAATAGAATGAAGAGATTCTTAGCTGAACCTGACTTACCTACCATTAACTCTTTGTACTCCTCTGGAATTTAACATAAAGTTCATGTTCTAGAACAGATGCAGTCTCAACTAGACTCGGTCTATCTCTAGATCTTCTTGACTAAATTGGTTATAAACAGCTCATTTTGTTTGATTTTTATTTAACTTATATTTGTCATATCAGCTCATAGTACATCATTAGCCCTTAAGGTGACGTTGGTGTCTAATATTTTGACAGCCTTTCAAGCACATGATTCAAGGAATGAGGGTGGACTTAAAAAAATCACGGTACAAGAATTTTGATGAGCTTTACCTCTATTGCTATTATGTTGCTGGAACAGTAGGGTTAATGACTGTTCCTGTGATGGGGATTGCGCCAGAATCAAAGTCCTCAGCAGAAAGTGTCTATAATGCTGCATTAGCCCTTGGGATCGCTAATCAGCTTACTAACATCCTAAGGGATGTTGGTGAAGAGTAAGACCTCTTGAAACTCTAAATTAATGCTAAAAATTAACTAAACTAAACCTTGAAAGATCGCAAATAATGAATAATTTTCACAGGATGCCCCATGCATGTAGAAATGCTAATGCAACCCTGTTCAAACATAACAATTTAGCTGACACTTTTTATTAATCTGCATTTCATCACTAAAATCTACATAGTTTCCACTACAATTACACAGTAATTTATCTCTTTTTTTTCCCATTTTATCACCCTAGTATAGTATGGAGGAAACTGATCGAAGTAATTTTTCCATTTCACTGTAAATATTTCAAAATAGCGCGAGGAGAGGAAGAATATACCTTCCACAGGATGAACTCGGGCAAGCTGGTCTATCAGATGATGATATATTTCGTGGCAAAGTAACAGAAAAGTGGAGAAACTTTATAAGTGGACAGATAAAAAGAGCAAGGATGTTGTTTGATGAGGCTGAGAGGGGCATAGCAGAGCTGAATTCAGCTAGCAGATGGCCTGTCTGGGCATCTTTACTAATATATCGTCAAATCTTGGACGTCATTGAAGCTAATGATTATGACAACTTCAGAAAGCGTGCTTTTGTTGGAAGAGCAAAGAAACTAGTCTTCCTTTCAGTGGCTTTTGGCAAAGCTGTTGCTGCTAAATGATGTTGCTCCAATTTTAGCAGAGTTCATGCTAACATGAATTCAAATAATACTAAGAGCAGACTTTTGGGGTTAATACAAGGACTTGCTTTGCAATCTTCTGTTGTATTCTTGTTAGTTGTTTCTACACTACATATATTTGCATATGTTTATTGCAAAATAGTAACAGCAAAAGACTCTAAAAAGCATGAATTAGAGATCAAGAGTCTAGTGGCTAGGAGAGGGTTTTTAGAATGCTTCTCACTGTTAGGTTCAGAGTTCAAATCTTGTGCCTCATAGTTAAGGATAGAAAAGATGTGGGGAGGGGTAGGAGGATAAAAAGAGAGAAAGAGGTTAAGATTAATTATCAACAAATAACATCGCCACAGTCAAAACTTTAATGCAACCGGTTTTGGTATTTATTGTTAAAATTACCTTTCCAATCGGCCTTGGAGGGGGTAGTTTTCGAAATTTTGGTTTGACATTTAGATTTTGTTTGTGGCAATATCACTGGCCAAAAAATTAGTTTGTAGCTCTTTGTTGAGCATATAGTTTGAGCTACATTTTGAAATATTTGCAGTTTAGCAACGTGAAATACCTCTCTCTTCCTATTAATTAGCGTAGTTTTGACAGTCAAATAAGTTGATCATCGGATTTTTTTTCTCTATTTTACTATTTCATATTTTGAGAGTCATTTTTTATTTTTTAAAATTAAGAAAGTGACTAAATAACTAAAAAAATTTATTGAGTTGACAAATGATTTTGTTCCTTTTTTTCACACTTCAAGAACTTGAATATTCCAGTGGAAAATTTTTGCGCATAAAGTTGGAATAATTGTACGTTTTATACATGAATGTGGGAAAAGAGTAAAGACACAATGAATCTTGAACCAAGGCTGCACGTGCTCAACCACCGTCCACTGGGTTCCTATACTTAAACTATCAAGGGGAGAGCTCTTAGGATCTTCGCCACTAAAGTTCCAAATTTGGTTGAACTGAATCTTTCATAAGACAGATTTTTTTTTTCTTTCGAATCCCAAAGAGCTTACGTCAATTTTTACAAACCTAAACCCCGAGGGAACCCAAAAGCCGGTTCATAAGACAGAGATTGTTAATATAAAATTGGGCAAAGAAAATTGGTAGGTGTCTATTGCGAGGAACTTTGACCAGAGGGTTTTCCGGTAGTTTCATACAGTGGATTTAGTTTAATTATGTATAGGGATCTATATTGATAAATTATTTATTTATTAAAAAATAAATTTATCTGTACTGATAATATAGAGTATATTTCTTAAATATCACGCCTCCCTGCTAGAAAAAAAAATTTTAAAAAGAAAAATTTGTGAATTTGAAGCATATCCTCGACCATTCAAAATTTTGAAGCTAATCCATCTCAAAGTAGCAAGCTAAAAAGTAAATTATTCGAGTTTGAAGGAACAACATAAATTAATAAGGTATCATGGATAAATGTCAACATTGTCAATTACTAATAACACGTGAATTTTAGTAGAATAGCTTGCTTGAATCTTTCTGGGATTTAGATTGATCCTCTAGTTATTCTGCCCAAAAATGCATTAAAGAAAATAATTTAGACTCGTTATAACTAAATTGTCAAACTAGATTAACACTAACTAGAAAAGGTCGATATTTCAACTTCAACGAAACGTGAGCATCAATTTCAACACTTGGCCAGTTTTCAATAAATATTCTTCATTCATATCATACAGAAAATATTTTAACAAGTACTTAAAAACTGTAAATCTAAACATAAGAACAACTAACATCAAGAAGTTAGGCTGCCTATTGAAAAAGCATTAGAAGCTTTTACAGGACAACGTAATCTGAGGTATATGCAAGCACTGAGCAGTGTTGCAATATACCATGTTTTCGGCAGCAAATCCCAATTCAGCAGATTTGCTCAGTTTTTATCTTTTCTGATACCAAGGCTTTTCCAGAAACACTACCTGGATGTATGCAGATGAAAAAGATTTTAATGGCCTGGTACTACATTTCCTCATCCATTGATATCCTTGTCTAGTCTCTTTCTCAAATACGCATTTGGCTTTTACAAATCTTTTCTAGTTATGTGATATCAGTGATATGGTAGTCTTGGTACTGCTCTATCTTCCTTGCAAAAACTATTGTGCAGTGCACTGAGAGAATAATCACAAATAGATGTCCAAGTAATTATTGATTTCATCTTTGCAATATGATTCTGGATGAGACTCAACTACTAAGAATTGCAACGAGCTTTGAACATAAAGCTAGAATGGTTCAGATATCATATTTCCGGTTTGCTGTTCTCTACCTTCTTATGCATGGTCTGATAAAGCATCTTTTTCATCTGACGCTTGCTGTGTAGCTTAAGATGGAGACACCCAACAAATCCAGGAAATAGAGGTTAGTGACGTTTAACTTAAACATGAATATCTACATTCAATTGAGGACTACGGTTCTTCTGTTATCCCCTTTCTGGTGCTCAGGGAGAATAAAAGGAATCATATTCCACTACAAAGATCTAAATAGCTTGCATCAGTCAAAATTGTACCATTTTAGCAGTCCTACTGAACTCGGATAAAAGGATTAAAACCAACAACAGCTTCAAAATACTCGTGCACCTGTCTTCAAATAAACTTGCAGTCTTCTTGCCATTTCTGCTTGCATGAGAAGATCACTGAATTGAAGGTCCATCACCAGATCTGAAATCCGTGCTCCAATTGAAAAAACCATGGCAGACTTCCAAGTTTGCAACATCTAATCATGACCATTTAAAGCCAGAGCTGCAACTCTCTTCAGTGATTCACCTGCTTTCATTAGGTCGTCTTCGGTATGAGCAGCAGAGACAAATAATCTAATGCCCACAGGCAATTTGCATTTGTCAAGAGTTGATCTTCTTGAAGTAGCAACGAAAACAGTGTCTTCCTTCAGTACCTGCGGACACAAGATTTATTTCAACTTCAATTTTCAAGATGGACAGAAAGGATGTGCAGGCGTGTGGTTTCCACGTTCCAGATGTAAACTCAATCAGGCAGACCAATTAGGGAAGTAAAAGAATTTACTGGATGAGTTCAAGTACAAAACTTACATGGTGAGCTATCTCTTCAAGCACCTGAAGGTCACCTTTCGAGGAACCTGTTGACTTTTTTAATTGGAGAAAAACAATTGGTGATGCCGGATCACTTGCTATCTCAAGCCCTTGAATACCAGATAACCCTGCAAGCCAAGTTTGAAATGAAGAGCATATTCCTCACAGTTGAGGGATAAATGTAAATAACAAGACATGAAAAACTGAACGAACCTTTCCATAGTGTGCCAACATTTTTCTTCAGTTTTGTGATAAGATCAGGATTTTTTTCCAGGATATCAATTGCTGTGATTGCTGCAGTTGCTAGGTAAGGGGGCAAAGAAGCAGAAAAGACATAGCCAGAACTGCTAAGCCGCTGCCCAAAATATATACTGGGTAAGCATTAGTGCAAAGACCTAAACAGCTCAAGGAATATTGTAACTGAACTTTAGAGTAGTAAATTTATCTGCACTGTATCCTCATCAATGCAAGAATTCAAATTACAACATTAAGCAGATAAAGTTTACATACTTGGTGGTCAATCACTCTTGCATTCCCAGTGCATACTCCTCCCTCTGTAGCCAATGCATGCCCCATAGCCGCCGTTATGATATCAATCTTGTCAACCTACAAGAGGACACAAATATAAAGCCACAAACAGGGACCTTTTGACTAATTAAACTTGGAAAAGGTACAAAATCATTACCGGAACTTTGCAGTACTCAGTTAAACCTCTGCCGGTACTGCCAAGAACACCCAATGAATTGCTCTCATCCAGTAAAACACGGAATCGATACTTTTCCTTGAGTCTAACGATTTCATCTAAGGGAGCAATTTGTCCAGAATTCTGTAATTAAGCTAAGCCATTCAGAATAACACATCGTTCATCAAATAGAAGCTAGTTTGGAAAAATAAAAAATTTTAAAGGTAAGCATGTTAAGACTTGAAAAATACAAAGAAAAGAGAAGAGAAGAGGCAACATCAGCACTGCCTTCTTGGGACCAGTTTCCTTAACTTTGTCACATGGCACAGCCAGTAGTGCTACATGATCTATCATACTACTCTCTGGATTTCATGATTGATCCTTTATACCATATAATGTATAGTATTACTAGCTCGCCAATATTTTTCTTGCCATGCATCCAGCATACACCTCTCCTTGTCCAACATACACCTTTTCATGCCTTTACCTGACATGCCAACTTGACCCTGTCTCCTTGTCCTCTCCTATGAATAACAATCCCCTCTCACTCTGTCTCCCTTGTGTTACTTTGTCTAATTCTGTCTACTGCCTTGATCACACCCAAGTTTACATAATGCCCCTGACTAGTTTACAACTAAAAAGATAAGAAATACTCTTAGCAACTCAACAACTTGGAACAATGCAGAGGAAAGTGGGGAGAAACTTTTCATTAAGGTGAGGTGGGAGGGAAAACGGAATATCACACTACATATCTATTTGCTTCTAAAACATGATATGTGCAAGGATGATCAATGCACGATGTCATAACAAACCAAATAATACCTGATACACCGCTTCTACCACAATATAGCGCCTCAGCTTCTTTGCACGCTTGTTCTCCTGGGTGACCTTCTCTAGCATATTTCTTAAGGATTCCATGTCATTGTGCTTGAAATATACTACTGTACTTCTGGAAAGCTGAAGGCCATTTTGAATTGCCCAGTGCACTCCCTCATCCCTGGAAGAGCAAAAATTCTTTTGAGAACTCATAACAAACCTTTAGACAGATTACTGCAATAGATTTGCCAGTCAACAACTGAAAGAAACAAATACACAAAATTCCGGTGAATCATGACAAAGTGACATTATACGATGATGTATATTGATGCCCTAACCATGAAGGAACAGGTAGACATGGAAATCATAGGGGTATAACTGATATATCATATAACTAATATCCAACACTGTTGCTCAAAAGGGTGGCCAGTATATGCTAGAGAGTAGCATGAATGAAACAAGAAGAATAAGAAGATGATGCTGATGAGAGACCGAAAAGTAATTAGGCAAGCAGGAGGAAAAAGTTAAAAGAAGGGGCAAAGAAACAGATGATAGCCAAAGCTTTAGAAAGGAAGAGATGTTTCGGTATGCAGAAGTGATCAGAAATTCTACTCAGACATCTTCATCCGTTGTTAGTTACATAATTGGATGATGCGATACATCAAACATAAGGCAAGCCATTAATGACATATACTTGGAATCCGATCCCCAAGCAAAGAAACATCAGTAGATGACTAATGTTCATTGATAAGTTAAAACAGATAGATTGGATATACTCACGCAACAATAACATCTCCCTTTTTGCAAAATGCTGGGATTGCACTGAACATGGTGGAAAGCCCATAAGAGTAAAGTATAGAATCTGGAGTACCCAAAAACTTTGCTATTCTGGCCTCACAATCAAGGTGGACATCTGTACCAAAGATCAAAGGATAACTGGGTGCCCAAATTTCCAAGTTAAAAGGAGAAAATTGCAACCATGCCCATTGAAGTTTTGCAGATTAAATCAATTTATACCTATTGTTCCATAAAATCCACGAGGACCGCAAGAACCGACACCATATTTCTCCAATGATCTTGTACAAGCTTCCTGTTGTGCAACTTAGCTATGAAGGACATGTTTAAGAAATCCAACAGCACAAATTACCAATGACAAGAAAGGTAGCTTCTCCTTACAAGTAATTTCCCATGTCCGACTAATCCAAGGTAATTTGCTGAGGCAAAATTGATAACTTCTGTCCCATTAATTAATGTATGTGGTCCTGCAGCACTGCAAAGATACACCTGTTAATCAGAATGTATTCTTAACAGCAATAAAATCAGAAATTGAGATACTCAAGAACTTGTTTACTTAAACAAGGGAAACATCATTGCTTTATCCATCACCTGGAGTCACAGTATCACGGGACCAATTTTTTGAAATAGGGCTATCGAAACAAATGGCCCCATTTCATTCAGTAAATATAAATTCAAGTTGCACATTTCCTTTCACACGTACGTTATTCTAACCATTTTCTCGGTAATTCCAGATAAAATTCTATGGTTCCATTTACCCCTCAAAAAAAAAAAAGTCCAACTTTACTAAACATGGCAGTTGGAAAAGCCAAACTTCAACGGGAAAATACTATGTAGGGGGCAAAAAAAGCCCGACTTTACCTCTCCAATGCAGGAGGTTCATATTTCATATCATCTGTGATTTTAGGAATTAGAGGTTCAGGAGCCCACTCATCACATAGCTCATCAATTTCCTGAAAATATCAAGAAAATGCATTTGTCAGATCAGCCTGGTGAAACAAGTGACACTTTAGAAGACAGAGACACCAAAATTTTAAGAGGTTAGCCCGGTCAGACGACATAGAATAGTGCTTTCATGTAGTTTACTCTTCTTCCACTACTCCAGTATGTATTAGGCTTTATAAGAATTGATGGACTTCGATTTTCTTGCACTAGATATTCGAAGGTAATTCACTTGTAAGTTTAGGCTCCAAAACTTGGTGCACACTTCAGCTAAATATTATGCATCTTCATTGTGATAAAACAGGTAAGATGACATACTCTATACCCTACTTTCTCAATGTGGGTTTTCTGTAAAGACCAAAAACAATACGTATACTAATTAACAATTAAACAAAATGGACACCAATTGAATTATTCTCAGATTGGAGAGGGGGGCTGGCAGAGAGAGAGATTGCAGCTTTAACATCATATGCACAGATACATACTGGGGCAAAACAAACTTACCATCTTTATATGCACTACAACTTCGAATATAGACACTTCTCAGTCTTTCTTTTCTGAAGTGTTTGGTTGCATTTGGCTGGGGAAATCTTTTGTGTTTCCCCCTTTTTTTTTTAAATTTTTCATTTCCTTGCTTTCATACTGTGATATATATATCTCTCCAGGAACTTTTATTTCTACAACATGCTCATGATTCTATTCCTCTAAATCCTAAGCTCAGGGAAACAAAACTTGGCTTAGATGCAGCTATCTAGTATCTCAGTTAAGACAATCGCACTAATGTTTTGACACCAAAATTCTTACTCTAAGACATGATACGGATAAAGAATGGTCCAGAATGAACAGATACACCAGCCTCGTGAGAACAGAGTAACATACATCAACTGTATCATACAACGCTCATTTTACACAATAAACAAGCACTTTTCCTATAGACACAGAACAATTCTAGTATCAAGAACTTTACATCCAACTCTGAGTATTACTGCACCCTAATAGCAATTCTCTTACCATATAAAGAATCAACACTGGAAGCAAAGGAGTAAGAGAAAAGCCCAGATCAAATTCTTTTTCTTAATTTGAGTCTCAAAAAGCACAACACAAACCAGGACAACAGAAAAAAATAAACAAATGAAGAAATACAAGTCCTTTGGTGGCTAGGTATCCCTAACAAACCTTCTTTGTCAATGGTCTTTTAGGTGGTTTATAACTCTTCTGCGAAAGAAGGAAAATAATGACCACAACGAGAAGACCCTCCACAAATAGATGACCTACATGGAAACAGGAAAAGTTATACACCTCCAAAATGAGGAGTAAGCATTTGAGCTTTATCTGGTTTGATGGCATACCTCCAATGTTCACTCCAAAGACAACTGCTCTTGCAAAAGGAGCATCAAAAGCAAAAGTAAGCCAATCTGATGCAGCTTTTAGCATATCCATAGCAACTGATGCCATTGTACTAGTTAGCTAATTGCATAAATGCAAGGAAATAGTCATTCAACCCACAAAGAAGTAAAAAGAAGGACAAATAAAAGGAATTAGAAGATTAATATATAGAAATTAAAGGTTGACTAATAGCCTAAAATAAACGTTGCATCTTCTCAAGCATAAAAAATAAGAGACATATCTTGTTAGACGTGACAATCATCTAATATTCAACATAGTAAAGAATTTTCGCATGCTTTGGTGTTTGGGGTTGGCAACAACATCCTAGTTCTCCTAGTGACAGATATCTGGATAGATTCTTCTTCTTTATCTCCTTTATTTTCCCCCACATTCAACTAGAAGAAAGGAGATTTAACACTGACAGATATTTTAACCTCCCTTAAGATGAAATGCCAGTTTTACACTAGCAACTACACCTCAAGGTTCAAATGGACGTAACATGTTTAATGATGGCATCAAGAAACTCAGAGATTCTTTATCGTATGCATGTCTCTAAAGAATGGTCTTGATTATTTCTCTAATCCAAAAAAAGTATAAGACGATGAGTTTCATTGTCATAAGATATCAAAAAACTTACTAAATGAGGCCTACAAAGCTTTCTGATCAATTACAATATTGATATGGTTTGAACTTTCAATCCCATAATTCTAGCTCACACCACCACTCATGTTTTTGACTCTGCATTCAAAGTTAGCTTCAGCTTACGTCGTTGTTAATTTAGTGCCAATAGCAATTAATAATACGAATTATAAGCATAAAGATGAGAATTTTAACTTCATTTGAAATGGTTTCTAGCTCAAAAACTCGCATATATTTTTCCAATTACATCATCCACCCACTAGGCTCAAAATCACAACCAATCAAACAGTAGCTCCTACCAAAAAAGGGAAAAACCAGATGAATATATTTGGCAAATTCTAACATATTGAAACTGGCCCCAAAAAAGTGAATTTGATCAGATCACATCAATCGCCTAATTAACAATCATACTCGCAACATTTTCACCAAAAACTAATACTAATCAACAGCTTAAGAAAATCAAATCTAGTTAAACAGAGGAATTCCTGTGGAGGAGAATATTTTTTGTAGAAATAATTAAGCAAAATCTTAACGTCCAAATCCAAAATTATTCTCATATGCATGCAGAAATTACCAAAGCAGATTTACTAATACATAAGGCGGAGAAGTGTTAGTGAAGGGGTGGGGGAAGGTCGCCGGCCGGCAAAGAGGGGACGGGAGAGATGGATGGCGTACCTGAGGCTGGTGCTTGGCTAGATGCTGAATGACAAATGGAGAAACAGTTAATTTTGTTAGTCTTTTTGTTTTAATAAATGGGAAATAAAGTCCAATGCCTTTTTTTTTTTAAACTCCATTCATAGTGGAAAAGTCGAATTTCTTTATGAACCCAACTTTGGCGGTTCGACTGGTCAACCAGTGAACCAGTAGCATAACCGAGTTGGATTTTTCTTATCTGATCGGACCAGAAAATGACCCAATAGGCACTTGAATTTCAGTTTATTTACCACCCCCCTCCAAAACAGCACCCAAGAAAAAGGGTAATTACAGAAACCTACCCTAAGGTTTGTCATAATATCGCTCAGCTCTCCTAAAGTTTTAAAAATCTCACTTATCTCCCCTATTAACTTGATAAGACTAAATATTCCAATGAAAGGTTACAAATTGACAATAATACCCTTGTTCTTAATAACTATTTAAACAAGATGCCAAAACAAAGTGAAAAATTTAAACCAAAATGTGTAAATTAAAAAAATTGCTATCTAATAATGGTCCATATTTCTTTACATTGGAGTCGTGGTAGGATAGCAAAGGACCGGGATAAATTAAATCTAACCAAGATCAGCCGCTTAGGAGCATTTATTGAGTAATTAACATGTTTAAAAATTTCGTGGGCGGTTATAATTAAAGAAGTGAAGGTATTTTTTTTAGAAAATATGTTTTAATAAATGATTTAGTTTGAGTTGTATTGAAAACTAAAATAATCTATTCATACATGTGAATTTTTCAAGGTTTAAAATTTGCTTTTGCTCCAATACAACCAAAATAAATAGTTTAAGTTAAGAAATTACCCCTTATAAAAATTTAATCTTATTTTATTTGTTATTGTTGTTATAAACACCATAAGTAAGATAACATAAGAGTAGTATTGGAGCAAAAGTTTTATCTTTCTTGTATTTCCTTCAAAGGGGTTACAATGTTACAATAAATGGCAATTCAAAGGAGGTAAGTGAGATTTTAAAAATTTTAGGGGGCTAAGTGATATTATGAGAAATCTTAGGGGAGGTTTCTAAATTATTCCAAAGAAAGGAAGAAGACTTTAAACGATATGCCTATTTGGCTAATTGACAGACACAAATATGAGAATTTCTAAAAATTAGGAGGTAAACCATTTATTAGTTTAGAATAATATGCTGCATGAGTTGTAGGGTGTTCATATTATTTGGTTCACAGGATGACACAAAACTGGACTACTAATTGTATGTCATCTTATGTTTGATTGCATTTTTATACATGAGATGATACATCCCACCTAATCGAATTAACCCCTCATACGGGGCATAAAATAATTCAATAGGGAGAGGTGATATGAATTATCCCGAGATAGTTTAGTGGTGAGATGATGAAATAGACTTATTTAGCCCTACCAATAGAATAATGCTTTATTCCAATAACTATATAAACTTATCCTCTCACAATAATATTATCTAATTTTTTGACTAATTTGCCAGTATTAATAACACTAGCAGAAACCTACCGTGCGAATTTATGTAATGCCCACAATGAGCAGGTATAATGGTTAATAAAGTACTATAATTGATATTTGTAGTACGATGTGTATGAATTTATGTGGTGTGGAGGAGATAATTATAAAGATGGCAAAAAAGATAAACTAACCACTATCTCAAACGACACCATCATCTCAATCAAGAATCCAGAGGTCCATCATGCAAAATGGTTTCAATTTTTTTTAAGGACAAAATGGTTTCGTTTGAAATCAATTTTTTGCGATGTAATATGAAATTTGGTAACCAATGGATTGCAATTATAAACAAACGATACGGAGAACCAGTCATTAATTAACGAAGGAGATAATTAAATTAGAATATAGTAAACTTAATCTATTTGTCCGATCTCGAGTCTAACAGATATAGTAGGAAACAAATGTTAATAACCACTATTTATTACAATTAATATATTATTACAATTAACCCTTGTCTAAATTATTACAATTAATATATTTGCACACTATTTGGCTTTCAATGGTTGAATATTTTTTCAGTATGGATATCATGTCACAGTAATAAGGCCATTTTTTCGGCTTTCACCTGTTGAAAAAGCATTAACAATTCTTGACTCAGTAAGTTGACTTTGTCATAGAAAAACAAATTGCATATAGTATAGAGTAAATGTGCTAATACTTCTAATTTTTATAGTTATTCATTAACATGTAAAACAAAGATGATTAAGTATAGGTTATAACCTGATGAAAGACAAGTAAACGTCTCTTCATTGGATTTTGTAATTGAAACTTGCTCATGAGAAGCTTCTTTATAGTATACCATTGTGAAAAGCTGTTTTGCATCAGCCAAGGGGACTTGTACAGGTCTAATGTGTGCAAGGAACTTTTTTTATTTTAGCTCCTCATGCAGAACTTCAAGTGGTAACGCCATATTCTGCAACGCACAAAACAAGAGAATATATATATATATATATATAGACATATGTATTGATGCGTCATGGTGAGAGCAAACCTGATAATAATGCTTCATTGCTTCTTTTGCTATGAATGTTAGCAGTTTCTCAGCTAAATCACCAAATAGTGTGGCTGTGAGTGTTCAGGTGTCATCAGAGAGATCAACATCAAATTTACACCTATTAAATATGTAAATTTAAATAAGGCACAATAGAGGAAAATAAATGATAATATAATAAGCAGCAGTAACAGAAATGATAAGTAACTAATAAATGATGATTATACCTTGGTTCAGTCCTGTGTTTTTGTTTACAAGTATTACACATGAACAAGACACCTTAATTTGCAGACGTGGAACGGAAACATTCTTCACACCCCATGTACTAAAATTTCTGGAAGATGTGCTCAAATGAGAATGATGCTTTCACCCACATATTCTAAAATATAGTGAGCATATGAATTAGTAAAACTATTTATAGGCTGAAATGTAATGGAAAATTTGTAATCATGATACTACCTTGTGTTTTGAATTGATATTTGATATATTAGTAATTTTCTGCCTGGAAAGAGATATCAGGATTGTAAAGATTGTAAGTTCTCTTTTCAATAGTGCCTGCAGGGCATTTGGCATTTTTACTTGCCCTCTATATAGGATACCAAAATAGTCAGTCAAATAATTAAAATATTAGTTTTATATGCAACCCAGATTGAAAATTATAAGAGTGAAACCAGTTCTTAAGTCCCTTTGGTTGTCAAACAAACAGATAAATTCAAAGTTTATAAGCAATGAATATTGACAATTATAAGAACAGAACCAATTCTTCAGTTCCCTTGCTTCTTGGACAGGTGGATTTACAAGGATTGCTGAATCAAACCAAGTAGAAAGAGCCACTCCTATGCAAAGAAGAGGGGAAACAATATGTGATTCGCAAAACGTACGAATAGAAAAAGGTTAGATGTTAAAAAAAATGCAAATGTCAACTGTTATACTTACCATTATAATTTTGAACTTTTAGCCTTCTTCCAATAAGAACAGGATAGTTCTGAATGTCTAAAATAATCTTGGAGCCTTCATTATCAATAAAAGCATACCACATGGATAGCATAACTGTCTGCAATCTGACATAGTTTGAACAGTTCCACACTTTATAAATTTTTGGAAAAAGGCTATAATTTGTAATAGCAAATAGCCATTGTAAGCAAAGATTAAGGCTTCTTACTCCTCATTAACAATGACAAGCTTCTGGACTTGTGATTCGTTTGAATTTTCCGTGACAATTTTTTCATCCAATGTAGCAATGAAAATTCCCATAATATCTAGTGAGAGCAATTTTAAAAATAAGCATAATAGCATATAACAAGTAAGGTAAACCAGTTATGCTTGAGAAGAAAGATATTCACCAATAGAAATGTCCTTTCGATCCATATACTGTGCCAAGTCTTTAAACTTGGTATACGCAAACTTTGCAACTATAACATTCTCTTTGTCCACAATCTCTTAAATAATTGTTCGACTGGTGATTATCCATTGCTTTGTTAGGTCAGTGGTTCTGAAGTCATCAGGAATCTTTTTCACCTCAGCATTAGAGATGAGGTACTTTTTGTAAATCTCTAATCTGGGGTTCATTATAGGAATATCAGCATTAAAGATGATTCCTTCAACCTTTGAGCCCTGAAAAATAATTATTACGATGGCAGACAATTGAGTACTATTTATATCTCTATGTATAGAAAATACAATTTTGAATATAAAAAATTTAATCAAAATAAATACCTCAGAATCAATGAAGATAAATTTTTGTTTCTTAGTTAGTGTGCCAATTGATGAAGTAACTTGCTATTTCTTTTGGACGGTGACTTTTGCTGTCCACTTCTCCATTCCGACTTCAACCTCATTGATCGGCAATATAGCGGCCATCCTATACTCATTAGCAATAACAAAAATATACAAGAAAGAAATTTCAGTTTGCAAGGCAAAAGAAAACTATAAATTTGAGAACAAAATATAACAATATTTAAAGGTCAAGAGACATATGCAGAGTGCGAATGATCAATTAGATAACTGTAATATGTCAACAAACACATCAATTTTTTACTTCAGAAAATGTTCCTGGAAGTATGAGAACTTTAATTGCATTAGCAATTTTTGCTCTAGAGAGTGCAACGTATAATTGTCCATGAGAAAATACGGGTTCCTTTAGATATAAACCAATATAGTCAAGAGTTTGACCTTGAGCCTTGTTAATTGTCATTGCAAAACAAAGGCGAACTGAAAATTGTGTTTTGACGAAGGGAATGCCATGAGACAACAATGCAATGAAAATGAAAACGACAGAGCAAAGAGAATCATAAAACAATAAAAATGCAAGATAAAAAATAATAATAATAGTGACAAGTAGAAAAAAGTAGTAAGCATGGGAAATAAAAGAATATCAAAAACAAAATAATCCTAAGGAAAAAAATATAAATATTACAAGAATAAGGAGAGGGAAAATAGAGCATTACTTATATCAGATATAATAGCAGACACCAAAAAATAGCAATAACAGTGTTCAAAGAAAGATCCGCAACGAAATAGAGGGAAGGAAGAGCTCAAGGAAGAAGAAGCGGAAGCAGTACATAA